CTTATTCATATTGTTGGAGAAGTGGTGTGCGCAGGCGAAGAAGCAGCGACTATTCGTAGTCGGTCGGCCTACCCCATATCGAGTCAATGTGTATGAAGGCTTTTGCTGTTTAGGCCCTTTTGGGCTTGGGAGGGGCATTTTGCGCTCCCCGCTAGTTCCTTTACATTAGTTAGTCTTACGGTAACAGGATTACAGAAAGGCTGTGTAACTGCGCGTGAAGCTGCGAAAGTGGTGTGGAAATGGGTGAACTTTACTTACAGGAGATTAGGGTCTTCAGCAGGATGAGGCTGGTACGAACTTAGCTGATCTGTGGGCCCTCATCGCGGTAGAGAAAAATTGAGTATTTCTGAATGAATTCAAGCGTGACGTCATCCATGTTTTGAAGTTGATTAGGTGGACTTTGGTCCTTACAGCTGTGCTAGTATCCAGCGATACCGCTTTGAAGTCCCACCAATAACACACTGAAATCTTTATCCCATGCACATCTGCTTTTGGCTGAGCAATCTACTTTTCTCCTTGAGAGATCCTGCGAGGGATGCATGGTTTACGCAAGGACTCCTCCACTCGCTAACACCCACAATGTCTCACAAAAAAGTCCTTCCAGTGTGAAAACTCAGTCACGGCCATTCGGTATGCTTTGTCAGACTGGTCCAACTCATGAGGCATCCTTCACAAAAATTTTTCCGATAACCGAGATTGCGGAGAAGCATGGCAGTTGTCAGTCAGGTGGAGCCTAGAGAGGTTGCCAACTTATTATTGGTACGTTCGGCTGCGTCTCGGCCGGCATTCTGGGCTGGTGGCCAACCTATAAATTGCCTACCTCCGAATTAAATAACTCCAGCTTGGAAGCGCTGATGCAAAAGCTACCCTCTGCCATGGCAAGCGATATCCTTCCTCAAGACAACGTAGGTGTCAGCTTCCTCGACTACGGCGGAGTGGCCCTACAGGAACTCATAATATGGGATAGGTCGAAAAGTACCTTGATCTAGAGTATTTTAAGGCTTCAAACTTCCACAAAGTCATGACATACTCGTCTGCAGAAACCTCAGAGGCCACTCTCTAAAACAACAGGAGAACAGGGGGAAACATTCAAGCTGTTTTTTGGTCTTCTCCTAAAACAGTTTAATCGAAGTGTGGCAGGACTTTCTTCCCAACCTCATAGCTCCGCTGAGTGAGTACCGTTTGGTGCCCCTAACCAAGCCGAACTGCTCCAGAAAGAAAATAAATAATGAACGAAAGAGAAAGACGAGACAAGAGATTTCTCCATAGCTTACTTCGAGGTACCGCTAGCGGCATCACTTTCTTGCTCAGCTCGTTTCTCTGAACCTTCTTCATCAACACTGGGTGATTTCTGTCGAAGCCGCTGTGACTGTCTCGTTGGTGTGGCAGGTAAGTTAGCATGAGTTGCCTGCGATAGACTCTTTGGAACTAAGCCAAAAACAATCAATAAGACTACTAAAAAAGTAAGCCACCTTTTTAGCCGAGCTACGAGTCCTCTTATTGGTCGATGTGGGCATAACGACACTCTCTGACGGTTCAGGAGACGGTGGGAGGCGTGGCAGCCGTCCTTTCTAAATGGCAGAGAAGAACTTAGCCTTGTTTTAGTTACATAAGTAAAACTGCTAATCACGTATTAGATTGTCACACCACAAAAACATACCAGTAGCCTCTGATGTAACGCTCACTGCTACACGGTCAGGCGAAGATGCTATTCCCTGTGGATCGACTTTCGGGACTGATTCGATAGGGCTACTGAACAGAACCATTTTGGATCTATCTACTGGTCGATTATTGAAGAGATACCTCGGCAACTGAGGACTGCTTTGAGTTTCAGAGGAGCTTTCCTCAACAATAGGCTGAACCAGTTGATCAGTATCGGGCACTGGTACGGACTCCTGAATGATTAACCGATACTTTTAGGTTCTAGCAAAGTGATCATTCGAAACTTGCATCGTCAAAGTCAAGAACATTCCCAGAACGTTTTTCATGCGCAGAACTATCCGAGGCCTGAAAAAAATGCATTTAAGATGACCATTTGAAGACAGACCCCGTGCTGGACCAATTCGAAGGTTTGTCTTGCCTGTGTAGAACCACCAGAAATTGTACCAGTTTCGCGGCTCCACAATGACTGACGAGGGCCCTGCGGTCCTCACAAGTTGAGTTTATGGTACCTTACGATATATCATATATAACCGCGATTTATGAAGGCCGCAGCGCACCCGCGAAAGAGGACATTCTCTGAGAAGACTACTTGAGCTAGGAAGGAATACTAGGAACTGGTTGAGCGCGGGTCTGTCTTCAAAGTACACACCCGATCAATCCAGTTGCAAACCTTTTGAATATTTTTCGGAGTCTGAGTACGATCGAATGTAGAATCACTATGAAAAGAGTAGTCAACAAGTTTAACTTCGGCTACTTCGTCGGAATAATCCTCCCATGTGGTCGTAACACTGAAACATGAAAATCCTATAACGCGGCCAAAGTGGTCACCACAACAAATGGTCTAAAAACAGATTTTCAGATAAAAAAGACCAATAGGCGCTGTTTGGCGATGGGGGGGACATTTTCCACTCAACGACTTCCATCGATTCGACCCATCTAGACAGCCTTTGGTCGCGTGTTACAGTTTTTCGTATGGCCTGACGAGCTAATTACCCCAGCTTTACAAGAGTTCACAAGTTTTCACCAGAAAGGGTACTGAACCGGAAAGCTAGCTGAAGCACAACGGAAGTTGAAAATGCCCCCCCCCCCCGCCCCTCGCGAACTGCGCCGGGAGCTAATATCAGTATCACTCCATGCAAACATCTAAAGCGCTTATAAACAATGCAGGCAAGAAATAGAAAATAAAGCTCCGCCAGAGGCCAATTCTCTTTTTCAAATTCGGCACGCAGCTTACTTCGATTCAGAATCTCAGTGGCTTACTAAATGAAGTGTGACCCACAGTGGCTCTAACAAGGAGGTCGTTCAGGCCTGTGCAGCTTTCAAAACTTGCATTTGAGGGTCCATGCGAGGGACCAAACGATGCGGGCTTCATGTTTGCTAACGTTGGCAAATGTCAAAGGTCAAAAAACAAATTCAAAAAGAAGGGCTTTTAAACCAGCTTATTTCCCCTCTATTCTAGCTGCTTAGCTTGACAGTGATAGTATGTAAAGGGTGATCTTTGAGCAGCAATTAGAAGAACAGGCCAAAGATAAGCTCAAAATCCAAATGGTCTACTTGGCATGCGGTGAGTTGCATTGGAGTTTTCCGCATATCTCTTCAACAGGTCCTGTATCGCTAGTGTCGGAGTGGCAGATGGTGTAGTGGATAGTGCGACGGGCTCTCGGACGGTGGGTTTGTGGATCGGGTCCCCTCGCCGACACTACTTTTGCATTTTTCACATTTCTTGCTTCTTGTATTCCTGTATGCCCCATAATGTGTATGACCCGGATATACGCCATTTGAAGGCACATTCCATGCGGGAACTTCACAAATAGGCCTCACTCAATTATTACGCTCGCGAAATACTATCGAAAAAACTCTTCATGAAACTTGGGTTACGGCGGTTATCCGATGCTCTGATCATGGGCACACACACTCATTTTTGAATATGGCGCAATGTGTCGCTAATTTGGTGCAAAGGCTTTCTCGTACTACCATCATTGTCAGTCTGCGCGGCGGGGCTATTTAGCGCCGTACTGGCCCCAGATGGCCTCCGCGGCAAAAATAAGTATCTGAACCGTGATCAGGACCATCAATTACCCCTACGTATAGAGTTACGCCGAGAAAAATTTTCCCGAGCTTTTGTGTTATGTTGCCGGCCATGTCTCCAGCTAGTGGCTATCAGCCCCCCCCCCCTCCCCAAGGAGTCGTTATCCAACATCGTTAAGAGGAAGCTTTTCATTTGCTAGTATGCAGACGCAGAATTAAAAACTACACAAAAAAAAGTGACGCACATACACTGCACTCCTCTCATACCTTTGATATGAGAAACAAAAACCTTTCTTCGGGCAAGTGGTAACGAGTTCTTTCTCGAAAGCATAGACGGTAAAAGTGAAGAAAATCCAGGATGCTCGTTAGTGGCTCCGAAGCTAGCAAGATGTTCTATGAAGACCTACTGAAGTTGAGGGGCAAGAAATGAAAAATTTCTGGCGGTTCGTCTGCCAGAGGGAATACTTAACGGAGGGTTCGCTGTCACTGCCATCCAAGGGGTCAGGTCTATGACCACTAAAGAAACTCGAAAAAATTTTTTTCGCTGAAACCTCTCAAACAGGGGTAATCAATGGCCCTGATCACGATTCTGACAATTATTTATGGCGCCGACGTGATCTGGGGCCAGCGTGGCGCTAAAAGGCCACTGCGAGCGCGAAGGGATGCTGCATAACCCCTAAAGAAATTGCAGTGTACCTCACTGTATGCCAAGTAAGGCACCTGTATTTCGACATTATTCAATGTTCTTTTTCATGTCTAGTTGAGAAAACTTTATAAACTCTATGTATTCTGCTTTACAGCTGAAACAGATGCGAATGAGATGATAAACTTCGTATTTAAAGCGATTTTTTTAGTCCTTTTGACATTCCCAAATATGCGTTTTAAGCAAAAATGAAACCCATGCTGTGTGCGTCCGTGTATGGGACCCCTCACCCTCCATACAACATGCCAACAAATGTTTTGAAAAAGCTCACACGCTCTGAACGAACCTCCCTTGTAAGAGCTTCTAGCCTCCAGCTTCCAAAGAGTTCCAGATTTCAGAAGAGTGAGACTTGTAAACAGAATGTAGAAAGCGCATAATGCCCCTCCCTTCCCATCGCCGAAGTGCGACCTTTTTTGACACACTGTCTCATAAAGCTTATAGACAGCACAATTTTGCCGACAAACGAAAAACTCTTAAAAAAATACCTTTCAGTATATACAGAAACAAAATCCTCAACGCCAAGACCCGTAGAAGCAGGAAGTGTAATAGTGCGATCCATTTGGTCCTCCTCTATTTCATCAGCAATCTAAAACCTCATTCAAATAAGTCACATAAAGGAGCGCCAATGGTTGGGATGACTTACCTCATCCCCATCCGACTGGGTCTCGATTACTGTTTGTACTGGGGTACCAATATCACTGGAGTTATCGGACTGCTTTTCGGATGCAGCCTCATCCACATCAGACTGCCTCTCCACTGCAGTTTCTTCCTCAGCAGCGCGATCAACGTGGGCATCCTCATCCATATCGGGCTGCCTCTCAGCTGCGCGATCAACGTGGGCATCCTCATCCATATCGGGCTGCCTCTCAGCTGCGACTTGTCCATTTTCCGAGGTTCCCGGAAGTGATCCAGGGCTAGAAACAGGAGGCGACGGCGAGGAAGGGAGGGGAACGGACGGTAGCGTTCACCGCACTTTTCAACCTGAACAAAATGATTATTCGGCCTTCTCTTTTCATGCTTTTGGGCACGATCCAAATGACACTGGTTTATATCACAGTAAGGCCGCGTTCATACTTTGCGTCAGCGTACCAGCGTTCGGCAGCGTTTCGAGAAGCGACTGAGAAAGTATGGATATCGATCTAGCGTTTGAGTAAAACGGCCTACGAAAACGCCGCTTCACCCTACGCTAGAGCGATATCTATAACTTTCTAGTTGCTGGCGCTGGCGTACGCTCGAAACGCTGCCTTACGCTGGTACGCTGACACAAAGTATGAACGCGGCCTTACTATGATATAAACCAG